GATATATATAAGAGATAGAAATAGAAAAGATAGAGGAAGAAGAAGGAAGAAGAGAAAGAGAGGAAAACTTGGAGAATCATCAAGAGCAATCTCTAGGATCCAATTAATCGGGTAAGGGAGTGAAATCTTATTATCTTAATCAATGTGTATGATTATATATGTGTGTGTTGGATTATTTAGATGTTTTCCATCTTTTTCCATTTTAGGTCGAAATGAGTTTAATCCATAGAAATCGATGTTTGAATGGTTAGAATCTGGAATTAATGGTGTAGTTTAGTCGAGGAATGTTAGGCTAAGACTACTGGAACTTGTTGGAATTGAATCGGGTGATTTCGGGAGTTTCTGAGGTTTTTGGACAGTTGGGGTTTTTGAGTACGCAGACACTCGCTAGTACGTTCGCTAGGCGAGCAGAGTGGCGAGTCGTTCGCTAAGCGAGCTGGTAGCGAGCTGCCAGCGAACGTCCCCAGACTTGGGCAGAATGGAAATGACCCTTATTTACCGTGGTGAGAGATGTAGCGAGTTATTCGCTAGGCGAGGCTCCAGCGAGCTAGTAGCGAATCCTTCCAGTAGCTTCTGTTTGTCTTCGTGAGCTTGTTCGCTAGGTGAACCAGTAGCGAGTGTTCGCCAAGGACTCGCTAAGCGAGGGGTGTAGCGAGCGTGACATCACTCTTATTTCTTGTTGTGTTCCATCCAATGTTGATTGTTCGGCTCGGTTGTGATCGATCTTTCTGAATGCATAGTTGTATGATGTGATATGTTATGATGTGGGTAGCCGTATGGCGTAAATCCTAGATTGTGGAATCGAATGTGAAATATGGCCTTTTGGCAAATATATGCATTGCTTAAATTGATTAAAAGTGTATGATGATTATGATGGAGTTCGTTGTCGTTTGGCGCGATAATGTGAATGCATATTGATTGTATGCGATTGTATGTGAAGAATTCATGAATATGTAATTGTGATTGAATCTATTTGATTCTTGTGTACTACTTGATGAATGTAGTGATGATGTTGAAAGTATGAATACTTTGATGAAATGTGTTGTGTGTGCAATCATGTTATAATTCCTGTGTGATGAATTATTTGAGTATGCATGAGATTAAGATGTGAGAACGGTCTTAAGTGCATATGATTATTGATTGCATACGCATCATTTGATCAAGAGGCAATACTTGCTAGTTTCGTGGAAACTAGTGACTTGTCCCAAACCTAGAGAGGGGTTTGAAAGCTTAGAGGACGGGTTTTTGTTTGTTATCGGTCTAGAGGACGGACCTGGCTTAAATGTAAAAACCGAAAAATGATAACAAGTGTTGGTACCACATGACATGAGTTGCATTGAGTTGCATTGAGTCACATGGCATAGATATAATGGTTGTATGAAGGTATGCATATGTGTATGAACTGTTGAATTGCGGGTTGTGAATGTGTAATTGTGAATGATATTGATTGATGAATTGATGAATAAACATGATTGTATATGTTTATATGAATTGTAGTGAATTAAACATAATGTGTATGTTTATGTGGATTGATTGAAATTGTGGAAGTGTGCATGCTGTTATGCTTGGATTATATATATATATATATAGCGACGTATATGAGTGAATTATGATGAATGTGGTGAGAATGCGAAATATGTATACTTTTATATTAATGTATATGATTATGCACATTGTTATTATGATAATATTTCTCACCCTTCTGCTGGAATGATGTCCTATATGACATCATGCAGGTATCAAGGAGTAGTACTGCTCGTAGTTACAAAGTCGCTATTGGTGTAACTGTTTAGTAATTTAATTATGTCGGTCGAGTCATGCTCTGGTCATGTAACACTGGGATCACTTGGTTTATGTTTTAGAGATGCACTATGTACTCTACGCAATGTTTTTATATTTATCGAATTATTATGATGTTGGCCTTAGTGCCTAAGAAATGTTGATTTATGTGATGAACACGAATGTTCTGTTAAGAGAATTATGAATATAAATTGAATCCGCTGCTACATGCAAAGTGAAATCTTGAAAAGCATAAATATTTATTAAAGTGTTAATGAGCACAGATGGCTTTTGATGTTTTGAAAGTTATGTGTGACGCTCTTTTGTGAATGGATGATAATTTACTCTGATTATTCGTATATTTTCCGTGGGATTTAGAAGGGTGTTACACCGAATATTGTAAACCTGCTTAATATTTGAGATATTTTTAAGTCTTTTACATTTCAAAGTTGCATGTATGTTTTTCGGTTGAACCAAATTCAGTGTCATGTTTGAAGCACATTCCTTCTCTTCTGACATGAGGTGGCACGCAATTGGATGGTCGGCTAATTTTTCACACAAGACATGGTTATGTAAACCGCATATGATATTAAATCTATATTTCTTATTTGCCAACATGTAACCACGCAACTTAAAGGGACACTCAAATTTTCTTGAACCGGTATCATCTCGTTTAAAATTCTGAAGAGGAAGTCTATATTTCCCACTTCTTTCGCAAATCATAGTCACAAATGCACATCATTTATTCGAGACATTATTGGATCTTCTGATTACCACATTAAATCTTAGTTTGAAGGCCTCCGTACAAATCTATTAAAGCATGTGATCACGAAATTCAAACTCTTGCTCATTTTTAAATTGGTTGCCAATATCTACCGTATTCACAACAACACCTTTGACATTCGGAGACACAACATGTTTGAGGAAAATATTGGGGTGACCATATATAATGAAAACAATTTCAACAAAATACTTAATAAGTGCAAATATTGTAAACATAGCTGAAAAATGAAAACAGACATATACGAGTTATGCATTTTCGGATGAGTTCATACAGACACCAGAAATGCATCTCTGGAATAAACGCATGTTTTTCAGACTGAAAACAAGATTAATGTGAGCAATGAGGCTTGAAATAAATTATCTTTACCTGGAATTCCAACTTCTTTTACTTTCTTTGATGTGATGAAACACGAGATTGAAGATTTGGAGTGAAAATGTAGATTGAAAGTTGAAGAGTTTTTGGTAAGGGCTTCGAGCAAAAAACAAGTATGGTTGTGTGATCGTGCAGTTGAGTGTTTTATCAAATTATTTCGGAGATGCATCTCCAGAAATATCAAACATGCAAAAGTCACAGAAATTTCAAAATCTCACCCTAATTCTTCGAAGATGCATCTCCGAAATGTCTACTGGTTGCTCAAATATCAATATATTTGTTGAAAACACTCGGAGATGCATCTTCGAAAAAAAATTATTTTAATTTGTAGTGGCACTCATTTGGTGCGTCATAAGGTGGTGCAAGGTGCGTTCGGAGATGCATCTACGAAATTTAAGAGACAATTTTGAATTTTTATAAGGTGTTTTTCCATCCCATAGGTTGGGATAAGAAATTCCCATAAATTATATTACTATGATCATTGAAACTTTAAAATAGCAAAACAAATTGTCATATATTGATATGCTTGTTTGAATATGCAAAAGTATATATCTTCTAACCAATTTAAAAGGCTTAAGATTCTCAAGGTAATTTTCATTTTTCAAAACAACAATTTTTTTTCTCAAATTTTGTGGTGTTATAGTGACTAATCATAGTCGATCCTAGACCTTAAAGCTCACGACCACATTATGGTAGAGCTTTTGTGATGACCTTTTTCTCAAATTTCATAGTATTATAGTGACCGACCATAGTCGACCATAGAACTCACGACCACATAAAGGTAGAATTTTTGTGATTGCCCTTTTCTCAAATTTCGTGGTGTTATAGTGACCGATCATAGTCGACCCTAGAGCTCAAGACCACATTATGGTAGAGTTTTTGTGATTGCCTTTTTTTCAAATTTCATAGTATTTATAGTTACCGATCATAGTTGATCCTAGAGCTCACGACCACATTAAGATAGAGTTTTTGTGATTGTCCTTTTCTCAAATTTCATTGTGTTATAGTAATTAATCATAGTCGACTTTAGAACTCACATTCACATTATGGTAGAGTTTTTATGATTACCCTTACGCAGGATGCCAACCTTGGAGCTCATTATCAAGTTATGGTAGAATTTTCATGATTTTATTTTGAACTAGTTAATCAAATGACTTAATCCAAAATATATTGTTCGAACAACAGGTTTAATGTGTTTTCAAACTCATGATTTTATTTTGAACTAGTCAATCAAATGATTTAATCCAAAATATATTGGTTCGAACAACAAATTTAATGTGTTTTCAAACTCGTGAACCCGACTTGCTGAAAGAAATTGTAAATCTTTCTTTTTGTGATTTGAGATTTTTATGTGTTGAATTTATATGTATTTCAATTTAGTTCAAAGTGTTACTTAAAAAATCAAATATGTTTTAATTTGTTTGACCTGAGGGCAAAATCAAAAAAAAAAAAAAAATTGAAACCTAAACTAACTTGGATCAAGTCTTGAGACATTTCTTCACATTTTCTGATTCAGAAATTATTTTTCAAAACACATTTTTGAAAGTGCTGAAGTATTGTTTTTAAGTAATAGACACATTTTAAATATTCTATACACATTTTTATAGTGATCGTTCAAACATGGTGTTATTATATAACACCATAAAAGGTCCATTTTGAACTGTTCTATAAGGTAAAGCTCATGTTCAAACGTAGGTTGTTATTAACAACACCATAATGAAAATTCATGCATAAGGTAGAAGCTCATGTTCAAACCTTTGTTACTATTGAGTCTGTTTAAATTTGGTGGAAGTATTTTTTAGTTTTATGAGAATAGGTTTGAACATGAGCTAGTGTTAAACAATGACAAACAAACATTTGACAGTGTATGGTTTATAAAATAAATTATAATTAGTACATTATAATTAACAACATAGTTCAAACGTACGCAGATTTAATAGACATAACTAAAGTATTCAACATCACCTAGTGTTGGATGTGGCAAAATTTGACATCTGTGGAGTTAAGTGAATGAAAAACTTTAATTGCAACAGTTAATAGTAACAAAAACAGACTCAAAAAGTGATCAATTTCTTTTCTTCCTCTTAAAATTCCTTATACGAGGAAATGTAAGAGGCACAGGAAGTTTGGCATAGTAACACCCATTCTCCTTTGCAAATTTGCAACCCAAATGCTCGTACAGTTGTCTCACAGGTGCTATAGTCATCCTCAGATCCTTTGATATATCTTTGTAGTCAGTGTTGAATTCGTCCGTGAAAAGCGTGAGCACCAAAACGTAAGACACGAGAAGAGTAATCTTTTCAGGGGGCAGCCTTCTTGTTTCAGAAACTTCAAACAATGTCAAAAATCTATTTTTCAGAATGTGAGGAATTTTATAATTCTTGGAAGAGGAAACACCATCCATGGTGTGCTGATCTTTGAACTTGACAAGATAATTGATGAATGAGAGTATGCAACAAAGTTTTTGCTTTTCAGACTCGTCCTGTAAATATAAACAATAAATAACATATATGATAATTTAATCAGGAAAAACAAATCTCAGAACTTTATGCTAGAAAAGAAAGCACATACCCAGATTCCATCTCATAAAAAAAACGTAAGTAAGGTATCTCCACTGTTAAATGAAGATTGAACGGTTTTAAAATTTATTTTGAAATAAAAATCATTCAATCTTTCATCAAATGGGTGAGATCCACAACAACTTGATTTTGGGGTCTAAATACAAAAGGAAAACACTGGATACGGGGAAACAGATGTGACACCAGGAAAATACAAGAAATCAAGAATATACTATCAAAATCAGACACAACATAACTAATAACACAACACAAATGAATATAAACACAAATCTTAAATGTCTGTGAGAGAGTCATAGCTTTGAAGTTAACACAAATTATTATACACACAATACAGAGTAGTCAACCCCGGATAATGGCGCGGAGCGGCCAACTCCAAAAATAGGATAGTAGAATGGCGTATAACAAGATGGCCGCTATTTGATCATTTTTTCGGACAAATTATATGAATAATAATTATAAACATATGAAGTGCAGAGGGAAGAATGAAGTGCAGAGTGAGGTAAGGGAGGAACTTGTGATTTTTCTTTGGAACTGTTGAAGTGCATAAACGTTAGTGAAGAAAGGTTATGGTTGAGTCTCCACTCAAATTTGATTGAAAAACTCAAAATTACCCTTAAAACATTTTAAATTTAAAGGGTAATTTCGGTTTATTAAAGGGGGGGAAAGGATAGCAGGATAGAAATCGCTACATGGAACAGCTCCGCCTCCGCTACCCGCTATTTATCCTAAAGCAGCCGGCCTCCGCTCCGCTATAGCGGGATAGTGCCGCTATTGACCGCTATTGACTACTCTAGCCCAATATAATGTGACCATTTATTAAAATTATTGTGATATTCCCCTTTGTGTTGACACACAGTAAAAAGTTGCAAAAGGCACAAAATTTGTAGACTGTTGTGTCAATAAGATGTGAACTGAATACAGAAACACATATATTCACCCATGTATATATTTGATACAGAGATGACAGGACATAGTTGCCATTTTGAAGTCTACAAGCTCCCTTTACTTTCAAAACATTGGTAGAAAAAAAATCTAGTATACAAATTATTATATATAACATAATAACAGGATTAGAAACTACCACAACAGATTTGGGCTAATCAGTTTAATTAATTGGCTAATTTCAACAGACAATCCCCCTGGGGGTCACCGAAAATTGCTGACAGTGCCACCTAAATTTAAGGCATCCTCATGAATGAGCAGGACTCTAAGTGTTTCTTACCCTTACACATAATATAAAGAATGCCACCTAAATTTAAGGCATCCTCATGAATGAGCAGGACTCAAGTGTTTTTTACCCTTACATATAATATAAGGAAGTATAGTATTACTGATAGAGCAAAACTATTTTAGATTCCAAATTATGTTTTAAGCAAAAAGGTTATATCTGTATAATACCTGAATCTTCTTTAATTTGTCTATCCTGTTGCGAACAAAAGTTGGGTAACCACTGAAGTCTGCTTCTTCTCCCTTTGGCAAGAGATAATAAATGTCTTGAAGGTGATTCCATTCTAGTGAAAGGATGATTTTATCCAATACATAAGCCTCCTGAGGTGTCGTTGCATTAGTATTATATGGTGGTATATGGCGAGTGACATGAGCTTCTGTGTTTGCAAGAGCAATTCCTTTTACTTCAACATTTTTCATTTTCTCATCCAGGTTCTTTCTAGCTTCAGGTTCTTCATCTTTTCTGATTTCATCAAACTTATTACGCTGCGAATAATACAAATTCCAATAAAAATCAGGTATACCTTGTTGAATGATAATTAATAGAAGACTTGATCACTTTAATTCAACATTAGTAACCTCACCTATTAATACTACGTGAAAGGTTATTTAAAATTGGGTTAAGTAATAATTTTTCAGAATAAAAGAAAAGACAAAATATAAAATTGGTGTCACAGTGTCTTTCCTCATGTTCTTTGTTTAAAGACAATGTATTCAGAGTATAAAAAAAATGTTGCCTTGGTGAGAAAAAGAAAACAATCAATATGCAGGATTTCATGGACTAGAGTCACTACTCTCTAGATGGCTACAAAGTATGAATTATCATCTGTGCAAAGCCCCATGGAGAGACAATGATATGCCATTAATTAATCAATGATACAGAGCAGAACACCGCATGTTCTAGACACATATGTTAGCAAAGGAACTTATGTCAATGACAAGCTCAGTTCGATGGCCTTGCACAACTCAGTTCAACACACACAACTCAAACATACAACAGAGGAACAGCAAGGAAGAGGACTGTGAAATTGTGAAAACTCAAAAAACTGCTCACTCTCAGTCTTGGGTAGGAACTATAATATCCAAGATTAAGTGTGGTCATATGAAATCATGTTTGATTAGAAAAGCATTAAGAGTGTCATATCATCTAATCATGTTTTCATCAGTGTTATCAAATATCCACAATTGCGGCACTATGGCAGATATATGTGGCAGTTCTTGGGCCTGCCGCAATTGTAAATATCGGCCAATATTGTGGGTTAGTGTTGGTTTCGCATACCAACACTAACAAACCTTTTTTCAGAGGTGTCAACATGTAATTACTTATTATTAGTACAGCTAGAAAATAAGGGCTAAACAGGAATTAAAATATACCATCTCATTATGTCTCCTTGTTCCAAAAGCAGCATCAGTCAATCTACTTTTGGCTCTCCACTGATCCTGACTCATCTCTTCCACCGGAATCGAACTTGGAAGCGGCTCCTTATATTCCAAACCTTTAACTCTTGGTTCCAATCTAAATATCTACAAAACAACAACAACAAATCAACAAAACACATAACGAATTCCAAAACACCAACTCAACTTTTTCTCGACACAATTCTTCACAAACTCACCTTATTAGCACCAAGACGCACAACTTTAAGTGTCTGAGCTTCCTTATCAAACACACCAAGCGCATACATCCCTCGGTGTCCGGTAGCCTCGCCGGCGTAACTCGTTCCGACGAATTCAACCGACGACCCAGCAGGGCTGACAACAAGCTCAGTTCTCTTACTCATAAACTGGTTTCTATAAACTTGGACATCGGTCGAACGTGATGATTGCTTAACCGGATCAAATCCAGATGGAAAATAACCAACAAACGGAGGCATTTTCTCTGGATCCGAACGGATAACTTCAACCTTAACCTGAACCGGTTCATGAACTGGTTCAGGAGGTGGTTCAGTATCCACTTTCTTTTTGTGTTTTGCTTTCTTGGTGGATTTTGGATCAGAGTGCTCCATTACGCTGGAGAAATTTGTGACAAACAAACTAGGGCTTAGTTTTCACATGAGAATAAATTCAACACAAAATAAAACTAGATTATATAAATTTTAAAACCCTAAATCAATAATCAATAATTTGGAAAATGATAGAGATTGAATGATGAAAATTCACAAATATATTCACATACCTTATGATTCTATTGTTACTGAGAAAGACAGTGTCTTCGTCGCAGCCAATAGTCGTGGCAGTGGTTGTCGTCGACGGTAAGAGAGAGAGGTGGAAATGGAATTGAATTTTTTTAGAGAAAACAATTGTGGAGACGGAGAGAACTGGAGAAGGAGAAATTCGGAGGAATTAAAAAGTGAAATTGAAAACTCTGGTGAAGATGATGAACGATGAACAGAGTCTCCCTCGTAGCTACAAACGGTAGAGCAATGAAGAAAATGAAAGTTCAATGTGAAGACATTGAGTTCAGACACACGAGAAGAGAAAATAACACTAGCGCTCACATGTTGGCTAGGTTTCTGCTAGCAAAAACGGGTAACCCGGATTTCAAAATTGGGCCTCAGGCCCAAATAGAAATTTCTCTTCTTTTAATGTGAAGTCCATATTAAAAATAAATTAAAAAACCAATTTACTTTCTCCATCTTTAAGTGTAGCTCGCACATTTGAAGATTTAAAATTACCTTCAAGTATTTTAAAAGATGCATATTTGAACACATTTAAAATTACCTTATCCTTTGTAAATCAAGTAGTCAACTTATTTATTGTCAAAAATTGGTTTGAAGATGTATCTGCGAATATTTATGGAGTGAATTCGAAGATGAATCTTCAAAAACTTACCCGTATGCATTTTGGACAGAAACATTGTCCTGAGTTTGTATTTTTTAATCCAAATTCATTTTAGTTTGACTAACAATGTCATAATTTGATTCAAACATTAATAAACACAAACATCATAGAACAAGGTAATGCATTAATTAAAAAACAGTCCAGAATATTACAAATATTATTCTTGAAGTATGGAAATAATGCAAAAAAAATTCCAAAATATAAATAAATGCATAACCTATTGTGTATGCCTAATCCTAACCCCATGACTCCTCCTCTTCCGCCGGTAACCCAAGGCATTTTGTGCCTCAGTAAGAATGGAATGTGCTAGGGCAACCGCATCATTGCCACCTCTTTCAAACAGTCCAGACTTTATGCCCTCATACATAATCTACATGATATTTTGACAGATCGACAACACATCAATGGTATAGTCATCCCTGACATGCTCATTCTCCATGGTCTCCTCATGAACGAGCATAGATGGACGTCCAGTAGCATCTGGTGTCATGACAGGGTGTGACACACTATATAACCAAGTCATATAATCATCCATATAAGATCATTAACTTGTGACTGCTATACTCTGATACTCTTTTGGTACCAAATGACTCTCGTAATCCGCCATTATGTCATTAAGATGTTTGCAGACAATGTTGTTAGGAGCAGACATAAAGGGGGATCTCGGAATGATATATATATATATATATATATATATATATATATATATATATATATATATATATATATATATATATATATATATATATATATATATATATATATATATATATATATATATATATATATATATATCGAAACTAACACATGCATCGCTTTGACAGATACCTGCTCATCAAATTCGTCCCACATGCCAGTCATCTAGAGTCAAATGAAATAGGGTCAAAGACCACAGTGTCTCGGTAAGCGGTGTATTGCGCCTATTTGATGTCATTATGTTGTGTTCGGTCAATATACACACGAAACGGTCGCACAACATCATTTCCTCTATGGGGGCAATATAGGCAAGCATGTGGCCAATCCTCAATATACTCTAGCACATAAACAAACTCGTGTGTGCGGTGAAATAGGGATAGAATCCATCCCTAAAAATGAATAAGAAAAAATATTCATAAAAAGTGAAAAAAAATGATTTTAAAATTATTAGTGACTATAGAAATTGTCGACGGCAGGGTGCAAGAGCATGTTATTTTCTTTGTCGTCTAAAGAGAACCTTTGCTCGGCTTGGAGTGCAGGTATACCAAACAGGCGACCCTTCAATTCCATTCGTGAATGGCCGACATGTCGATGAAGCACTTAAGGTATGCCAGATCGACGTAGGTTGCACTTTTGTCCATAAACATGGACGTGTCAACCAAGAATAGGAGGTAACACCTTAAGGTACACTTCCAATGGTATGTCGTCGTAACCCAAAATTTGACATCCCCTTTTGCCTTTTTGCATAATTATCTACACTCGCATTTCCCGCATACGCATTAGCATTTTTATCTATAGGTTCCTCGCAAGTACATATTAAGATCCTCGCAGAATCTCGAGTTTATCATTATGTCCCATGCAGAGTCACCAAAGCATCAATACAATTAAAATGGAAGGGTTTCTATGCCTATTTATCAAATCACAGGGTTGAAGTACAGAACCACGACAAGAACACCTTATTTCAAGCCAAATAAGCAAAACTTTGTATGTGTTAATTGATTAACATATATGTGTTAACCTATTACACCTTTTCACAGTATTGTTTTTCAGCTTCCGAACAACTGTAATCGATTAACAGACAGGTGTTAATCGATTACATTTGTTGATTTTGCTGAATTTCAGTAGTTTCTTAGCACTACAACATCCACTACTCTTCTCCTTTGGTCCACATCATTCTAGCATCTCGTGGAAGGTTCTAGACATGTGATTACACCAGAAAATATCAACTAAACTTGCTACAGTACCTCACTTTCAATAATGCTTACCGTGCATCGTCATTTCGAAGCATGTGAACCACTTGGTCATTGAGCTTGCGTTGGGATTCTCCAACTGAGTTAACCAATAACTAACTGAGTTAGACCCCAACTCAGTAAGTTGGGTCTAACTAACTCCAAGCCAAATTCAAACCTCATTGACTACCTGCAAACCAAGTTTCAAGCCTAACTCACTCCAAACCTAGGCTCTATATAAGCAAAGCTTCACATTGATTCAAGAACCTTCACTTTTATTCTCAATTTTTCACTCTTCACTCTCAATTTTCTCTACATTTTCTAGAACTCTCTCTCTTACTCTCTCAATCATCTTCATCTTCTTCCCCAAACTTCACTAGAGCCCATTCCTCTATTAAAGCTTAATACGTTTCACATTGAAACTTGTTATTCTTTGAGCTAGACTTCCATTCCTCTTCATTTCACTTTTGAATTTTGCAGCAACATCATCATCTACTTCAATTCAAGCTTTGGAGTTGATCATCGAAGGAGCTTTTGTGAAAATTCGGATCTGACGCAAATATCGCATTATCTTCGGCTTTTCTTACTACAGATTACTAGAAATCTTGGTATTTTTGGTTTTCTAAGCATTTCCTCTTCGTATTTTTCTTACAACAATAACCAAGGCAAACTTCAACCTTGTAGGTTGGTGAATCTTGCTTAATTTATCGCTTTCGATCAATTTTGCGTTTTCGCAATGTAGTGCTTAATTGTTGCTTTGCCATTTGAATAATTGATTTGCATGCTTGATTTTTTGGTGTTCAATTACTCTAAATTAACATGAATTTTGTATCTACTTCTATGTTATGATCCATTGCGATTGCATGCGATAAGTGATTCCAAAAAGTGCTTTTCCAAACTGATTTTCTACTATTTTAGCATGTGTAATCGATTAACATATATGTGTTAATCTATTACACCTTTTCACAATGCTGTTTTCAGCTTTTGAACAGTTGTAATCGATTAACAGACAGGTGTTAATCGATTACAACTATTGCAAAAGGCATCTTTTGCTCATTTTTTTAGCTTATGTTGATTCCTATCCTCATTTAACTTTTATGGCTTAACATATTTGATTATTGGGAGATTTTTCATGAGTTATTTAGCCATCAGTTGTAGTACGTATGTGAATCTTTGATGCGATTTGTCGATTATGTAATTGTTTGCATTCTTGATGTTGTGTATTCATGTTGCTTTGCAATTTTATCACATGATTTGAGGCACTTTATGCATACTTTTGCTTATGTGTTAACATGATTAACACTCAGTAATGCATGCTAGCTTGTTCTTGTTAGTGCTTTGCAATTCATTTGGTGCATTATATTTGTTCTTTCTTGAGCAAATTTAATCTTATTTAACCTCATCTCTCAGACTTGCTTTGATGATCTTTCGACTCGCTTGAAAGATTATTGGCATTTCTTTCCCTTTGATTGATTGATCGAAACCTTATTTCGATTGGTTAATCTTCCCCCGCTCTCTTCTTTAGGATCACATTATAGCCTTTTTTTTCTTGATCCTGCTGAGCCAGAGGTTTGCACAATGCATTGGAGCACTATACAAATTGCATCGTTACTTTGTCAGTTTCAATTCTTGCACTACGCTTTGAATGCTAGAGAAGGAATGAGAATGGAAAAGTCCTACCCTCATTCTGACTACTTTTGGTAGGGGACGAATGACCATGTGCTTGGAATAGTCGCCTATATCCCCAGACCATAGTGTCTCCCGATCTTCAGCAGAGTCGACCTTTGATTACTCATTCTTGCCCCAAGTCTTTTCTCTCCTTTTGGGTTAGCAACATTCTCTCAGTTCAACACCCGTTTTGTTAGTTAATCACAGTTTGTCTGTTAAAACTAATCTCTTTTCCTTTAGGTTAACAACCTTCTCTTGGTTCAACACTCGTTCCTTTGGTTGACCAGTCCGTCTGTTAAAACCAATCTCTTTCTTTAGGGTTATCAACCTTCTCTTGGTTCAAACACCTGCTCCTTTGGTTGACTAATCCATCTGTTAAAACTAATCTCTTTCTTTAGGGTTATCAACCTTCTTTTGGTTCAATACTCGTTCCTTTAGTTGATCACAGTCTGTTTGTTAAACCAATCTCTTTCTTTTTGGGTTAGCAACCTTCCCTTGGTTCTACACTCGTTTCTTTGGTTAATCACAGTCTGTCTGCTAACAACAACTTTTTCCCCATCAAAGTCTTGATC